AGATTCAACAGCTGAGAATACATCGAATCTATCGAAGTTCGATAGGAAGAATTACGAAGATAATTGTCTATTAAGTTCTTCTTACCGGAGGCGGCAGTCGCCAAAAGGAGGACTGAGACAATGAACTGCAGAGACATCGTGGTGATTTGATGCAGATTTCTGGCATGGATCCTCTTTTATACGATGCTGGTAGATTTCAGATTATGCCGGCTTATCGGCCGCCACAGCTTTACCAATGCGGTTAATAATCGATAACGATAAGGATTTTAATCTGGCGAGTACAATTGCCTTATCGATTTTTCTCTTGTGAAATGTAGAAAAAAAGATGTATTTAGAACAATGAAGAGATGCGCTCGAAGCGCGTGGTCCATTAACACTAAACCTATCTACACGGTCAAAGTGACCGCTTTCTTATTTTGCAGTTCTGCAAAGTTCCGAGACTCTTTCGTGGAAAACGCTTGAATAAGTTACATTATTGGAGCAAGTCTTACGATAAAAACTTTACAAATCCCAAATAAATTCGGTCTTCTCACTTTTGTGAAGTACATGCCAGTTAGTATTACTGCTTGGTAAGGTTTAGTGTTAAAAGTAGACACATCGAACAAGAAAATTCAATCCTTCATAGTTGAACTAGGAACGATACTTCGATAATTTTAGTGGCACAAGCGATCATTCCTTCTCATTTCTTCGATACGTTAAAAGAATAATGCACAAAAACAGAATTCGTAGGGATCGAATGTAAATAATTCATTAAGCGTTCGATTTCTGCTCTCGTTTCCCCAAAGTTTCTCGGAAAATGCTTTATCATTTGATTAATTCGAGATAAATGTCTAGACGCTATCTCTGTTGAAACATTACATCGCAGAGTTTCAAAAGACGGAAGTACTAAACGTATTTTATCAATAACTTTTGCCGATCATGAGATACGGTAGATGATCATCGCAAGAAAAGATATTATATATAATATCAAATTTGGCTTCCTGTTACAAAGAAGGAGAATTAAGTCACCAAACTCGCTTTTTCTTTTGTTTTGACTAAAATAGATGAATCATTTATTGTTATCGAGATGTGACAATTTTGGTAAGTTTAGGGTTCGATTGCAAGCGTGATGATGGGAGCTGGTTCTGCTTAGACCATGTGCTCGTTAATCCAGCTGACGTAGGAGGCGACGCGCGTGTAGACGGATGGCATGTGGCTGACACCACATGGCATCATGCCCCAAGAGACGATACCAACTTGGACGGCTTCGGCACCTTGTCCTTGGGCGAGTGGGCCACCAGAGTCACCCTTGAAATAAAATAAATAAGTTAGAAGACACCTTCAATGACACATCCTCGCACCACTATCTTCTCGATTGCTAAGTTTAGCTGCTTGCTAGTTACTCTAACCATTGAAAAAGGTTATTACCGTGCTACGATTCTTCACTTGATATCTCTGATTAAATAAAAAAAAGGGGAAATAATTTATTAATAATATAATATAAATATATATATATTATTATTATATTATACGATTAATAAATTTTTTCCCCTTTTTATTTATATATATATATATATATATATATATATATATATATATATAATAATAAATAATATATATTATTATATTATATATAATATAATAATTATTAATCAATTAAAAGCGCGCTAAATGATTCAATTGAAGGTGCATCAAATGGAACAAACTGACGATGCTTCGATCGAATTGAATTGAAAAAAGATGCACTAGCTGGACCAGTCGAAGGGACATCAACTGGATCGATTGAAAAAATCGAAAGTGAACTTACGGAGCAGGCAGAGACTTCTTTGTCAGCGGTTCCGCTGCAGACCTGGGTCTCGAAGAGTTCAGGTTGTTCGCCAGATGTAGGCTGGGAGGTGAGTTCTTTGTAGCATTCGTCGTTTCCAAGGATGGGTACGTTGGCTTTCTGGAGGAGACTGGGCAGTTGAAGTTTCGTGCTCTTAGAGACGGAGCCCCATCCAGAAAGGACAGCCTGTCCGGTTTGCTTCTGGCCTTGAGCGGGCAACTTGATGGGCGCAACCAACTTGTTCAATTTCAAGGGTGTCTCCAATTTCAACAGGGCAATGTCGTGTTGGGCGACGCCGCTGTAAGTTCGTGAAGAAACATGTCAGCACGCGAAGACCGGAAAAGTCTTAATTTTTATTCAAATGTCACTGAATTTCCTATCTACTGAAATTGCTACTGCGTTTAGGAACTGTATTGTCAAATTTTCAGCTAGGAACTGTCACGTCGATGAACGTAGGATGTTTCCACGAAGAAGAATGCGTTGCATAGTGGATTTACCCTTTGTATCCGCTGTGTACGGTAGCTTTGGCAACGTTGACGACCTGGTTGCTGTCTTCAGCCTTGTTCAAGTAGAATTTGCCAGCGACCACACGGAGCTTTCCAACCTTGAGGATACAGTGTCCAGCAGTGAGGACGTAGTTCTCGTTCAGGATGGAACCACCGCAAGCATGAGAGTAGGGCTTAAGTGATGGGATTCCCCATTCGATGGAGACCTGGTACGGGAACTCACCGGGTGCGGCGTCGACACCGTCGGTGATACGGGGGTTCAGGCCAGTTGGGACAGCCCAGCAGGCTGAGAACAACAAACGGAATTATGAGACTGCCAATTTCTTGAATCTCGAAATTTAGTTTAGTTTGTAACGTTGCCGACTTGGAAAATTCAATGTAGAAAGTATTATATTGAGCGGAAAATTAAATGAGAAAATATTAGAAAAATATTTAAAAAATAGAGAAAATAAAAAATAAATAAAATAATAAATAATAAATAAAAAATTTGTTCTATAAAAAATATAGAAAAAGATAGGCAGAGAAATATTCACGGTAAGAACTAGTTGAAGAACTAGAGATTCAAAATAAACAAAGAAGGAGAAAATTCTCAGAAAGAGAGAGTTGAAGAAAGAGAAATTTGCCGAAAATTACGAGATGGAGGCGTTAAGTGCACGAGAAATGTCTGATGTTAATTGTAGCGAATTGCCGAGCTCTTACCCTGGAAGGCGAAGATGAAAGCCAGCAAACACTTGGTCAACATTGTCGTACGATGTGTTCTATGGAACTTGTGGTCCCATCTGGATACTACGATTTATATACGAATTTGCACGTCGATATCTATTGATAATGATAAATTGTAATCGATAATGGGACCACTCGAAGTTATTTTTGAGTAAGAAATGTTAATATTTCTTCAATTAGAGTCCACAAGTGGTCGTGATTATCATGGCAATATCGCGATTTTTTTTGTTATTTCTTGTATTGCCTGCGTGCGAACGATTGTATCGCACTAATTTTAAAAAACGTAGTGTTCGACTCAATTCTAATCCTCGATGATAGCTTAGCGCACCCTCAATATTAAGGAAGAATGAGAAATCGTTGCAATAACCACGCTCTTTTTTCTCAATATTTTATTCGACGATATTTTCGATGCCATGAATGCTACACAAATTTGCTTAAATAAATAAATTAGTCGCTTTCACGGTACGGAGCGCAATCTATAATAAATTAGGATCATCTCGGACACGCTATCAACAATTCTACTAATACTTTACAATATTTACAATATCAATGATGCATCATTTTAATAATTAAATTCGATAAATTGTCGGCTCGGGGATGATCCGAGATTGGGCGACTGAACTTTCAACGTGATATAAATAATCGGGCAATTAAGCGAAACGTAATTCAATCCGCGATCCGGATCGATCGAAATCTTATCGAGCCGAACCGATTGTAGGCGGGTATAGTCGCTCGGATCAGATGCTTGTCGAATTTTATTTTCAGCCGAGCCAAAAATTGTACAAGACGTAGTTTCCTGTTTTGCACACGATTTGCGTCGCGCTCGATTATTTTCGCGCGATTTCACGTGCTCGTAGTGACCTGCCGGACGATCGTTCGTATTCCTGCCCAAATTTCGCGCGCTGTCGGCATAATTTGAGATGCTGGAAGCAGAAATCCGTAAGTACCACGATCTCGAAGCTCCACGGTGTACGCATATTTTATTCCGGCGACGCCTTTCGCCCAGTCGTCCGAAGCTCCTGCAAATTAATTATCTAATTAGCATCTTATTCTTAGAAATAATGTTTATTCGATAAAGATTCATGTTAAGTCTCATTTAATTGACCCCAGAGGTATGTTCCATCGTCTAATTACATCGACGGCTGATAACGTTTACTTCAACTTCGCCGTCGTTTAATTACTTTTCAGATCAACTTCACTTGATATCTTCTGCCTTATCGCCTGTATTTGTCAAGGGATTTTCCAGTTACCGACGAGACGAATTATGTGATTTCGTTGACAATCGTAGGCGGTTCAATTGACGCTAAGCTACCAACTTAATGCACTTATCGTATCAGCAAGAAGTTAGAAATGTTAATTCTGCTCGACGAACATTTGACTTTCGATTACGATACTTATCGACGATTGCAAAGATGCATTTGTAATCAAAATCAGTATCAAGTCATTACGAACAGATCAATTTTATCGTAATTATACAGTGGCGACCATATAATTAAGGACACTTGAAAAACGTTACAACTTTTTCAAAACTGTATTATATGATTCGAATTTTTGTTTAGATGATAGGGACTAGTTTACTAGACAATGACTATAATACATTTCGTCAAATTTACTGCTATTTAAAATGACAAAAGTCTCTTCTTCAGAGAGTCCGCCAAAATGGTTCACCATAATGGTTGCGCCTCTTTTCCATTCAAAATAATTTTCGAATCAGTTCTATCTATAATTTGCATTCCAGTCTTGAAAATACGATTTTGTATCTTATCTTTGTAGAGCTCGATCATAAGAATGCGCGCTGCGAGACTCATGAAGCGAATTATCAGTTTAATTAACCGATGGGTGTTCAATCCCACGTCGAATGTTATCAAACAAACCGGATAAAAATCTCGGAGCCCCTCCTATTTCCAGTTCCCATCGGTCGGCACCGTCGATATTATATTACCTGAGGTGGGATAGAGAAGGTCCGACGATGGACCCAGCTGATAATCGGTGCCGTGAACCTTCGAGATCGCGTTTATCGCTTTTTTAGCAGCGTTCGCCAGCTCCAAGTAATCGGATGGCTTCGAGTACGTGTATCCCCACGGGACCAGCCACATTTGCGAGTAGGAGTGCAGTGTCAGGTACATTCTGAAATCATCATTCGACCTGTCAACGTCGAAGTTCACTATTCTAACAGATTATAATATCAATAAATAACTAAACATTATAAATTTCCCTAATTTTTCACTTTCTCGAGAAACCACGAGTCTCCATTATTTGTGAACAATGTGACGGATTTTATTTCAACTTCCATGCATCTTGTCACGGGCTTTCGTTGCTGCAAGAGGAATTTACGGATGGAACTTTTTATCATTCAAGATGGAAGAAAATGAATTTCGTATTTACGTTTTTACGTCTTTATTGGCAAAAATGGGTGGATAATTTTTAAATCGGTGGAAAGATTCGATGAAACTGAGAATGTTGGTGCACTAATTTCGACGCGTTAAAATTATTTAGAAAACAATCAAATGACACTTGCATCCTGCATCTTGCAATCGATGCAAACAAATTTAATTTTGCATAAAGTCCCGCAGTCTATTTATGACATCCGAAAATTTTGGAACCAAGGCACTATTTTCCTTATTTTAGTTTCCATAATGTTAAGTATGAAAATAGTATCACAAATCTGTACTTATGAAGAGTATAGTGATGTTTATGTAATAACGCTGTGTAATATTTGTGATGTAATACTTGTCTTTCGACTAATTTATCTCATGAGATATTTATCTTTTAGGCTAGTTTATCGAGCGTAATATTTGTCTTTCGGAGCCCATCTGATATAATACTCGTCTTTTGGTCTAGTTTACAGAACGTAATACTTATCTTTTGAATAAATCTACCCGATGCAATGTATGTCTTTTGGGCTAATTTATATACCTAATATAATAGTTTTCTTCTAGATTAATCTACTTAAAATAATATTTGTCTTCTGGACTGGTAAACCAATACAACACTTATCTCTAAACTAATTAATCGGACGTAACGTTCGTCTTTGGACTAATTTACCGAATGTTTTCTTTGTTAGCCAGGATATAATCAGCCATTGCCTGTGTTTCCGGCTCGGAGAACGCTCGAGGGCCAGCATAGGTCTCGTGACAAGGGTCTGAACTGGCCCCGCCCTCGTCCATCTCGCCCCAATGGTAGCCAAAGTTCCTATTGGGATCGACGCCCTCGCATTTTCCCCAGAACCACTTTGCATAGTGATTCACCAACTGCAGAAGACTATAAGAGGAGTATCAGTAAAAAGCCACGCACCATCATTTTCGCTCGACATTTTGTCCGACCATTGTCATATGTTTCAAAAATAAGGACATCGTACCGACTGTCCTCTTGCTCCTCCTCGTGATTGCTCCTCGTTTTTCTCCACAACCTGTCCCCGGTGTGAGTGAACTCGTAGCCATCCGGATTCGCGACAGGTAATATCATCCAGTCCGAATTATCCAGCAATTTCGTGTAGCTGACGTTCTTTTCGACCAACTGGCTCACGATGTAGGTCGCCACGGCGGTGCCGATCCATTCTCTCGCGTGCATACCTGCCGAATGTGTTGACAATTCGAGAGAAAAAAAAAACGTAACGGTATAAGATCGAGGCGATGACTCGTCTCGAGCTGACATTTCGTAATGGACAATGATCCTATTCGAAGAAGTCGATGCGATTCTCTTAGCTACAAGCTTCTCTTGTTGATCTCGTTTCGGCAGGCCATTGAGGTCTGTTTTGCTTCATAGAGCGGAATAAGACGATCGCGAGGGAAAGCAAAAATGATCAGAGAGGGAAAATGAAGATTTGCTTGCCGAGGGTTTTAACTCTAAATTCCTATTTTTACTTCAAATTCATCTTTTTGCAAACCATATTAATCTCTCTAGGAATTGTATTCATCTTTTTGGAAATTATAGTCACCCTTTTGCACTCTTTTACAGGTCAAATTAACCTTTTCGCGAATCAAGGGCTTCTGCTTGGTTTTCGCAAACAATTTTAACAAATATAACATTCAACGTTGTTTCATTATTTTTATATTTTAATGTGTCTGTGTGAGAATTAACTTAAAGTGCTGATTGAATAGTGAACTTTATCTGTGCGAGTATTAGCTGCAATAGTATGATTAATAAAATGCATGAAAGAAGAGCTTCTTGAATAGAATTTGATTTTTGAAATGCTTCAATTGGATCATCATCGAAGGTGGTAAAGAAGTAAAATGATTCTTGGACATTGTGGTGGGGCCTACATTGTTAAACAATACTTCGAGAAAAAGAGTATTTGAAATTATATTTATAATATTTCGCTACCATCAACATGAATTTCATTTGCGGAAGTATGTATTTCACTTGAAAAAATATGAATATGATCCAGTAAAGAATGAGTTCGAAGTGTCACAACCAGTGATTAGAGAAAGAGAAAAAATGAAAAAGAGGGATTTTAGAAAAATATGTGCACTGATTTAGATCACTAATCATTCAGCATCCTAAAAATTGCTCCATTGTCCCCTTATCACGTTAACATCTGCGAAACGAAGCTGTTGGAAATTGATGTTTTCAAATCAATAGCCTCTTAAGATAATTGACCTACATCGGATCAGGTATTTCTACGGTGGAATGTACGAATAGAATGAGTTCTCCTCGATGAAGTCTTTGAATGTAGTCGATATATATATATATATATAGAGAGAGAGAGAGAGAGAGAGAGAGAGATGATTGTCGAATTAATCTGACGTCGTGTAGATACACACGGATATAAATTCTGATGCAACTTTGATTAAACTTGCACGGGATCAAAGTTCTCTTCGTAATAAAGAAATCAACACATCGATCGACATCGCAACACGCATAAATCCCCGCTGCACGTTTACGACCGGCATGAATTTCACGGATGACTTTACGAATCCCTTTCATGCATTGCGGAACGAGGACTATGCCACGCCATACGTGACGCAGAGAAACAAAAATGAAAAAACATTGATACGCATCTAGAAAATATGTCTAGAAAGTGCATCGCGAAATGACTCATTTACTATGTAGACTAACTTCGTATAAGAAAGGAAAAACTTAATATTTTACGAGTCACTTTTCCTTTGTCTTGATAAGCGAGTAATCGAAAACAATGATCGTGATATCCTATTATCGGTAAAAAAATTTTCTAACAACGTCCTTCGTTGTCGGCAAGTACCAGAACAATCTTCGGAGCTATCTGTTCACCGACATACAGTGAATTTCCAACAAGGAAACCAGTTTCCATTCCCGCAACAGCGGGAACTTGCACGCCGAGATGGACGCTTCTTCATTTTATTATGCAGAGAAGACGCTACGTAAATCAACGAGATTTCAGCGGGAATAATAAAGATTAGGATTTCATGTCAAATGCCGCGCTCTCGGTTGCCGTCTGAATAATTTCGCGAAACCATCGGCGAATTTCGAGCACGTACTTCTATTTTTCATGCATTCCTCTCGAATGTTCGCGGAGATTTTTTGGAGGATCTAGGACTCACCGGCGTCTATCCACACCGCTGGCTTCGGATGACCGTCTTTGCCCGGACCGGTTGAGATTTTCACTATTTTGATCGGCTGGCCCTCGTAACTGTGCCCAATCGTCGACATCTCCACCATTTTTGGATACCTGAGCGACAGGTATTCCAGGTATCTCGTGATATCTGGAAACATTGGTGTCGGATTCTCTTGAATCGAATTTTTATCGTCGAATCATTCTTTGTTAAGACAGAGAGATTACAAATTATGTTATCAATACGCGAATTTTATGCATTTATGGCGAAACAGATTAGAGGAGAAATCGAATAATTTCTTTCTGAATGACAGAGAAATTATAACTCATGTTATTACATAGTATAAGTTGTGCATTTCTGGCAAAAATGATTGGAATGAACCGAATCATTTCCGTTTTACTGACAGAAAAATTATGAATTATGTTATCAGTAAACCGATTTTGTGAATACATGCTAAAAACGATTAGGACAAATTTGAAACAGTAAAGAGACGAAAGGAATGTCAGAATCTAATCTGTCGTTTCACGATTTATAACAACATTGTTTGGAATTTTATGATGATAACTTTCTTCTAGCAAATTAATAAAATACAAGAATCGCTTGGATTAAAAATCACGGCGTTAATTAATGTTCTTCGCACTTCGAAATTAGGTTACCAGACCGTAATGGAGAATTAGTTACCTGCGTATCGATGGTACCGTTTCCAGGTCATGCTGTGACCCTGAATATTGACGAGGTCATCTCTCTGCTCCTTCGACATCTTCGGATTCTGGTGTGCTATAGTTTTCTACCGTCAAATCGAATTCCATGTAAATTAATTAAAAACTACTTCTCGATCATCTCGTTACCACTAGAAAATTATTCTCACCTGTAGATCCGGTATCAGCACCTTGAAATCGATGCCTCTGTCTCTTAGAAATATTTTCAGATCGGCAACCAGGCCTGGAGCAACGACTACGTCCGTTGACCTAGAAACATTAACAATCTCCAAGAAGCAAATTGTTCCCGGAAGAACAATGAATCGTTTTACGTACTTGTTATAAGATGGCTGCGTCCAGAACCTGATGTCTTCCGGCTCAGCGTCCCTGAGCTCTCTCAATTCGTTCACCTGACCTTTCGAATTCGGGTACAGCCTGATCAGGTGATAATTTCTATAATTGATTTTCGTGGATTTTGCTTTCGGAGATCTCTCCGAACCGATGATGCTGGACACGATGGAACCGATGCCGTTGGTCACTACGGCAAGCATCGACTCGATCATGTCGACGAAAGAAAATCCTCTCCCCGCATTCCTGGCAGACGATGATCCAGATCCCTCCGAGAAACTGTTCGTTTCGTTGTAAACACTGTCCTCTTCCTCGCATCTGCAATTACCAGTGTCTTAGTTCCTCGAACACTTCGGAACTCAATTGTAATTATGTTTTATACTATAGTACTTTTTATTTATAAATCTCACAGTGTCAGCTTGGGGATCTTCGAAGAACCATTTTACATTTAAACGATGAATTCTAGATCATAGTTACTTAATATTCTGAGTCGTGAATGAACAGCGAATTTTTCTGTAAATTTTCGCTGTTGTCTCTTATAATTAGACTGCGGATTATTGTGCAAAATAAAAATTGTCTAGGTCAATCGTGGGAAACATAAGTTAGATGAAAATGACGTTCCTCATTTTATAATTGTAACAAGTTAAAAGCAATTCAATAACATCCTCAAATTCTTGTAATGTGTTTACAGTTTTGTATTTGATCTACGAATTTCTGTCACAAATACATAAAATCCGCGGCCTACTTATTATTATAATATATCCTAATTATTATTAGGAGAAAGCAAAGGTGTGTTTTAATGATCGACTCCGTACGAAATAAATCTCAACTGTCCAGAAATATTTTCATCGCATTAGGAATTATAAAAAATCAGTTCAACTGCTTTGATGATTCTAGTATAAAATCTTTATTTAATCAAAGATGTAATAATTTTATGTAAGTCTGACCTATCTGTGATTAGATCCTCCTCCTCCTCCTTTTCCTCCTCCACCTCCAACGGCCAATCCTGCTCACTCTGAACCGAGGAATTAAGTCCTGCTACGAGATATTCGAAGTCACCGCGCTGCGGTCGAGCATCGATTAATTTCGACGAAAGAACGATCGACAAACCGAACGCGAGGCACAAGATCGACTGGACGCCGACAGCCATGATCGGCCTGGATCAGGCCAGGATATGCGATCGTCTCGAAGTCACCTTGTTGACTGTTCCCGTGGTCCGCAGCCGGAACCAGTCTCGGGACTCGTTGGTCGTAAACGTATGCGAAAAACGACAGTTTCACTGGTCTGCCCCACGGGCCCGGCTTACGGGATTTCTGTATGGTATTCAGTACTCGGGTTCTTCACCGATCTCTAAGCTTAACCGGTAGCCTAACAGAGTCGAAAGACGTCGGACCGATAGAACACTATCCTACTTTCCTCCTCGAAATGAAACCACTTTTGGGTCAGTTCGTTTGTTATCCCAGTTACTCGGTGTTTACTTATTTTGATAGGATCTTTTATGGTTGTGATATATTGGGTACAGTTTATTGACAGATGTGTGAGAGAACTCGAAAATGTTGGGTTGGGACTGGTCGGGAATTTTTATTGGGACCGAGTTAGGTTCGCGAAGATTTTAGGGTACACTAAGTTCTCCATAATTGACGCGTGGATTGTACACAAAAATGGACAATTTGGGAAGAGGAGAGCCGGTCCTCGCGGCTCGTTTTTATAGTTGTTGGCAATCGCTAATTATAAAATCGAATAATCGTATCTCTTCTTCTCAAATTGTCCATTTTTTTGTACAATCCGAGCGTCAATTAGGGAGAATTTACTGTGCTTGATTGTTTCGAAACTCCAGAGAATATTCGGGAAATCAAAGAAATAAATATTTTATAATTATTTTATATTATATTTCCATTCCATTTTCCAAATTTTCGGGATTTATTATACAGCTTTATTATTTAGAAGTTATTGAAATGATTGAGACGAAAGGCACGTTCATCATTTAACTCGTCATGCGACGAAAATCATACCCGAAATATTCCACGAGATCAAAATCATTTAATTAATGACTTTATCACATGAAATATTAGTTTAACTCTTTTGCATTCCACGCATCCCAGTCAATTTCAATACCTTCGAGTACATTACAATAAAAATGAATTTTCAAAACTAGTGAAAAATTAGTGTCACTTTTCAGTATAATGATCTACTACATCCCTTATCTCAATTTTATTCTAACATTATAGACTATAATTGAGAGTTCAAATTCACGCTCGGGCTGCTCTATTAATATAAAATACAGTGAACCTTGTTAATTAAAAAATTTTCCGAGTCCTCTAAATTGCATCATTAGTATTCTCAATATTGTTCCCAATTCTGAAAATTCAGTTCAACAATCGCTTTCATTGTATCAGAAAGTGTCTCAGATAAGAAACGACAATGTGTCTCACTTTTCAGAAAGATTCCAAATAAATTAACTCTTGTTTTCTGGGAAGCTAGAACGATGAATAATGGATCATCTCTGGAAGGTTCGCGAGTCACGCAAGGGAACGCACGGAGCGGAAAAGTTTCAGCCACTTTTCACCACGGCGCCTCATGCTCCTTTCATTCTTATTCCGTTAACGGTAATAGAAGTAACACTGCCACTTACCGCGTAACACGATGCCCAAGTTCCACTCTTCTTCATTCACGTGGAACAGAAAACCGAGATGGCGACGAGCTGCCAAAAGAATCATGCAATTTTCTAGTCACTCTCGTTTTCGTCGCCGGGGATGCTGCCACGTGTTACAGGATGCCGCGTGTATTCAATGATTACCAGGAAAGTGTGAGAGTTCCGGCGTTATATTTACGAAATTTTTATGCAGCAACATTTCATAATGCTCTTTCCAGTATGGTACACGATGCAAAAAGCTCGAGCTTTTGTTAGTTCGACAGGTGCAATACACACAACGACGAAAGTGACGCGGTCTCCACTCTTCGTTTCTATCTTACTGCTGCAAACTGGTGCAACTGCATCCGCCGGTTTCCCAATATGTTTACTACTTTTCCGATAGCAATCGTTGCATCCCCGGAGGATCATTGCGAATTTTATGCGTCGATTCCAAGGAATCGAAGTCGTCGTTCGGACGAGCGTGTACGGGCGTCGAATTTCATTTAACGCTTTGACAAAATTTCGTAAAGCTGCTGCACTTTGTGCAATCAAATGAACATTGACAGGTTCAGTTTTGCGGTATCAATTGCTTTCTGAACGTTCGGACGTTCTACCGAGCTTGAAGGGGTAATCTAGCGTCAATTTTCGAAAAACTTGATTTTCTTAAAATTCAGAAGAACAGCTGATTGATCATTCATATATTTACATATTATGAAATATACAAAACTTTAAATGTATTTTTCTCGACAGTGTGATTTCAAAATAGTGACCATAATATTAATTAAACTTACACAGTCCGTATAGCAAAGGCAACTCAAAATTGATTACCAGGAAAGTGTGAGAGTTCCGGCGTTATATTTACGAAATTTTTATGCAGCAACATTTCATAATACGGTCGAAAGCAAAATAAATGGGATTGAGACCACTTTTTAGTAAAGATGTAGTCACTTTCTTAATCTAAATCAAGACCCGCATCTAATGAGCTTGTGATTCTGTTATTTCTTACTTGGAAGTGAACATAACACTGAACTAAATGGTTCAGTGGGTTTCAACTAATTAATATACTTTGTTGTCAGTATTAATATACAGGGTGTTCCACAATTATTTTAACAGCCGAAAATGAGGGGTAGCTGAGGTCATTTGAAGTGACTTTTTCCTTTGCGAAAATGCGATCTGCGGCTTTGTTTACGAGTTATTAACGGAAAACACTGACCAATGAGAGGTGACACTAGAAAATGAAAACGGCCGTCGCGCTTAAATTACTTACTATTTCGGGTCCGTAAAAATTAGTAAATATTCTTCAGACGTTCTAAAGTAAAGGTGAACAGCGTTTTTCTTAAAAATATCACTGTTACGTAGTAAAAAAAAATCCGGCAGTTCTTGCTTCATGATTTGTTCAACACTTCGAACGCGGCTCGAGTCCGTCCCGACCATCTGTTAAAGCCTCGTGCTGCGGGCTCTCGAACTTCGCGCCGTCACCTCTCATTGGTCAGTGTTTTCCGTTAATAACTCGTAAACAAAGCCGCAGATCGCATTTTCACCCACTAAATGTCATAAATGCATAGAATTCGCATTCGATAAAACGTCCAGTAAATTCATCACCGCGTTGACTTTTGATTACGCGCTCGCTACGGGTCGGGGTCAAAGGACACACAGAGGGCATACGCTGCGAATATGGTTTATTACGGTTACAACTATAAGAGACACACCGTTCCGGCGTGCAACGATACAATTATTGCGTGAACGTACGTAACAATAGAGCGTAAATAAGTAATAATAATTAAGAATTATTATAATGACTGGTGTTAAATTAATGGTTACTCGGTTAGTCAGGTTTCCACGTGTACGAAATGATACATACGATGAAATGAGACAGGGGGGTGGGGGGGTCGTCGGGTTTCACGAAGAGAGATCGGTCCGGCAAACCGTCGTCCACTAAACTTACCGAATTCATCATCGCTTCCGAGTATACACATCGAATTTTGACTAGCACAGTGTTCCAGCCGGTAAACCCTTCCCCGATACGTCCTGCGATCGTCGTCAGGAGTCTCGGGGAACGAGAAACAGGCGGAAGATGCGAACCGATCCTCCCCGGACCCGATAGAACGCGAAAGAAGAAAACAGCTGCGACGAGAGAAGGAGACATCCTCCCCTCGCCGCGGTATTGTCGTAATTACATGTAACAATCTTTCGTAATAATTGACTGATTACCGTCGTCCCCGGCGCAGGGATCCTCCTTCGTCGGTTCCGCCATCTTGGGTGCGAAGGACGTCGCTCCCGAGGACGATTCATTAAATGGCAAGAACCTACGTGGCTGGGAGGGGTTATCAAACGAAATGACGTGTACATTCATGTACGTTTCGTGTGTATGTGTCTCTCTCTCTCTCTCTCTGTGTATGTTTGTATGCGTGTGTTTGTATGTGTGTATGTAAACGATCGTGTAGGTGTGTGATGTTTCGTTTATCTGATGCACGGCGTAAGAAGGAGAGGCGAACCGACTGCGATCACCATAAGATTCCTGTGACGCTGAAAGTTTACTTCCTCGAGTTCCCGCTAGAGGCGCTGGTGAAACATCGGTGTTTTAATTTATTTTTGCATAACTGTGGTGCTGTTAAGATAGCGTTACTGTAGTAGCGCACACGATGGAAACTCTCACAGATAGTACGAAAGTTTCATAGACCACCTAGCGGACTGTGTCAGAAGTAAACCTTTAAGGTCACAGGTCGCAGCGACGAAGTCGCTTCATCTCTCCTACTTGCACCGTGAACGTCTCGCTACTCCTCTTCGAGTATCGTTTATTTTTTGTTCCGTCACGTTGACACCTGTCGAGTCGAATTCATTATCGATTCGTCCTCCACCTCCTCCTCCTCCTTCTTCTCCTTCTCCCTGAACGCTGCCTTAACTTCGCTGCCATAACTCCGCTGCCGCTCATGGGAACGTCACACGTTCCCATTGAAACCGAGGCGTCCTTTACCAGCTCGCTTTTATTTACAGTTATTTATATAGCCGCTAGGCTGCGAACCTTGTGCGCTATAGCGTCATAACTGTTGCTACAGTTCCATTTCGATTTCGATCGGAGATTGGCGGGTATCGTTTGCTTTGATTGCTGATCACGGTTTCTACGAGTTCGATCGTTGTACCGCGCATAAATGGTTCGCAGTCTAGCAACAACGTGTCACGATACCATACATTAACCGGAGGTCGGCTCCGCAACGACGTAACATTTCTTCGATAAACATTACTCGAGAGTCCCAAGGTATAACGCGGTAATATTGTAACATACATATGGATTCAACTATCGTTCGCATACGGTGCTGCGTACGTGAATGCCGCGAGTACGTGTGCTTTTTCTTTCTTGCTTTTCTTTTCTTTTTTTTAATGGTTCTCCTCTCGCTATTCTTCTTCTTCATTCGATTAGCATGTCGTTCGTTCGAGAGACGTACTCGTTTTGATTTCCGCGCGGCGAACACGGTCGAAATACTCAACTAGGCCTACCAACTATCGGTATGTTCGCGTGTGCATGTCGGTACGTTCGCATAATTAGCTTTCGCGCTCGAGGCGAGGCGTGACGATGCTGCCTTTCTTCCTTTCTTTCTTTCTTTCTTTCTTTCTTTCCCTTACTTTACTCTCGCTCGATCCGCCGACCGGTGACCGGTCCTTTTTGACCCGTGCTACGTTTGCACACCGTCGTTCAGAAATATTTAAAACACTCGATGACTTTTACTGATTTTATAGCATTCTTCTTACAGGTTTTATGCTTCGCGTCAAGTTCAGGGAAACTGTACTCAATTCGTATCTTTCGTGGTAATGTTTAAATTAATTTTTATACAGACAGAATGTTTTAACATGCATTGATAATTGTATAGTTCTGGTAGCTCGAATTCAAGTGTTACAGTTTGATAAGAAGAGCGTGGGTGTAGAGATATTTTCAGAGTGCACATTTAGAGACAGTCTAACTGGAAATACACTCATCTGGCAACGTTTTATCTCGCAAGAATTTGCAAATCAATTTCACGTCACCGTTTCTTACATATTTCAAAGTTCTTCAAGACGACCAAGTTCTATTTCATTGAATTCAACATTAAGACAGTGTAATTACCGTAAGTAATCACAGTATGAACATGATTATTACATGAACATCACACATCTAACTGTAACAGTCGCAATCACGCGAATTTTTCTATTTTTCAAACATCTCTGAACAACAGCGTCCAAGATCGGTTAATAAAACCGTGATCTCGTGGGTCGTAAGTGACCCGGGACCGTTCGTGGAGCAAACCGCGAGCTCGTCGAATGGCAGTCGATCCTGTCCGCTCAGAGTCTGAGAACCGTCTAGCCTAACTAACAAAAATGCACTTGACCAAACGAGGAAATCGAGGCGAGGAAGGCTATTAGAAAAGTACGTAAAAAGTGATGGAACACGTTCAAGCCTTTGGATCCTGCTCACGTGTCAATGATGTATAGACAGTAAATTTTTCTTAATTAAGTGTAGGCAGCTGGGGATCTCCTACCATTCGGACGCCGACGTGCATCGTCTGTGACCGTCCAATACGAACGTGGCGCGTAGAGGACGACATTACGGGATTTTAGGACAGTACTAAAAAGTAAACTCCCCATTAGAATTCACCGGAATCCCATAACAATGAATAGAGTGGCGGCGAAGCGCCGCACCGTCACGCCCCTTCCCCGCGTATACATTTTATATTACTCTACTATCCTCTACGATAATTACCAACAGTTTAACGATCTCCGCTCTTAACAACGTTCTCCTTCCGAAGCGTGTGACGCAAGGATGGAATCGAGTTTCCTCCGTGCCGATCGATCCCTACCGATAAATCGCTACTGTATCGGAACACGTTCATGCTCTACTGACTCGATTCTACGTTCCACGAAATGCATGGGAGGCTTCCAATCGGAAGCCGGCTACACCGTATCCTGTCGCTGGGTCCAGGATCTTCGTCGAGTCGATGGATCCATTCGAATCGCGCCGATGAAACGATTCCGCGATTGCTTCTCGTATTCCCGTCTGTGGTCTGACGATGGGATGATCGTTGCCAGAGATGGATGGACGACCAGGACGACCGTCGATGGTCTAGACGATGTTGGCCTTGGACATCGAGCTGCCCATCATCACCTTGTTCACGAAGTTCACGATCGCCATTGCCGGCTGCTCGGGCTCCAGCTCGGCGAACACGTGGCACTGGTTGTCCGACTTGTGGGCGGGTTTCCTTGCCACGAACCCGAAGCATCGGCTGGAAAATTGATTGCGCGATAAGGGGGCTGGATTCGTCGAGGTTCGAGACATTAGGGCTTTACGTTTTGGTTCGTTGAAAAATAGAGAGAGGAACTTATTTAGTTGATTGTAGAATATTTAGCATTTTTAGCGGTTCTTATTCGATTAAGAAGATTGCAGTTCCTCTTTTTGGAGGATATCAACGGTGAATTGATCAATTGGAGTCGCGCAGCGAATACTATTGGTGTCCCAGAACTGCTGTTACACGCGGAAAAGATTCCTGAAGTGATTTGGAGTAACTCTTTCCTCAGCGAAAATGTTCCACGTGGCTTCGTTAACGAGTTATTAACGAAACACACGGACCAATGAGAGAGCGACGCCCAACCTTGACGCCCCGCCTTCGCGGCCAATGCCATGCCGAGCATGCTATCGCGCTAGCTGTACTCGCTCTCCAATTGGTCCGTGTTTTTCGTTAATAACTCGTGAACGAAGCCTCGACCAACAATTTCGCTAAGGGAAAAGTTACTTGCAATTATCTCAGGAATCTCTCTTGCAGCAAAGTGACCCTGTAGAAGCAAGGATTCGGGCCATAGTATAATAAAACCTTGAAGAGGTCTATGTAGAAACGCGGAAAGAACTTGGGACAATGGAACTAGCCTCTGGGGAACTTACTGAGCGCTAACAGGTCGTCCCGTGTCCTCGCTGGAGAACTCCCAGGTGCGTTCTTCAGTGTCCAATCCGCAATAGCTGATGTTGTTAGTGGGATAATGTCTGCGGAAGAAAAGCTTCCTGGCGTTATCGGTCAGCGTGATCCCCTGCGAGGAGACCTTGAAGTGAACGATGGTCGCAGTGGGCAGTGGTTTCTGATCAAACATGGTTGTGACTGCTTTCTTGATGGCCTGGGGCCCAGTTAGGGACTCTGTGTCCATGGTGAAGAGGTAAAGAACGTTGCAGGCTGCGAACAGTTCCACAAATCCAGTCAAGCATACCGAATTACACACAGACGCGACGCAATGTAAACGATCGATTCTATAAATTATCTCACCTGCACCCTGTATGAGCCACTGCTGAGCGCTGTTAGCACCTGGAGAATCGAGAGCTCTGGCTGCGGCTTCCGGTTCCGGGAGCAACAGCTGGCAAGGCAGAGCCATCGCCATTAAACTATGCTGGTAAACTAACGCCGACAGGGAGCTGAACACTGGCTCGTTCGCGCATCCCTTTAGTCGAACGCCTCTCGAGGTTGGCTCGATCAAAAAGTGCCTAACCAGCTCGCTCGATGGGTCTCTTGGGCTACTGGGCGCTCCTGGAGGCGGGGTAGCTACCTTCAGGGCTAGGCCGAAGGCTCCTGGGAAGGAGTTGCTGTCTCGGACGACGAATGTCCCTGGCGCTGCGTCCTTTAGCATTGAGATTGCTGCAGACATTACATTCTTCGTTAGGATTTAGGTTGGTTGCCTTGGGTGCCAAAAGCTTCATTTGTCTGTGAAAGTCCTATTTAAGCCCTATCTTAGCCCTATCTAAGCCCTATCTTAGCCCTAGTCTTCACCAAAGATTCAATTCGGACAAAAGGAACTCTACTTTTATTATTAAATGGACATCTTAACAATGAACACTGCTTATTTCGTCGCTAGTAAATTTATTTCATAGTCTAAGTTTTTCTCGCAATCCAAGGAGGCGTTATTAGCGAAAGCCCTAATTTATCGACAGATCAACCTTCAGAGATATCTGATTCGATCGAACTAATCGACATTCTGATCATCAAAAGTACTTCTTTTCGGCTTTGCTTTCTCCACCGAGCGAAACAGTACTTTAATCAAAAGATCGTCGGCAGCCTGTCCGTACCTGAATAAAAAGAAATCAAAGGAGTACGAAACTGAACCCACCTTGCTCCCGAGATATGTTAGGCTTGTACCAGATCCTGCTGGTGTCGCGCACGAACTTCACATTGGCATCGGCTACTTCTTGGGGCTCGGTGTTCGAGTGAACGCTCGACCGTCTCGAGCCATAATACTGAACCTGAGGAGAGGATTGGCCGCCGCTGTTTATGGACGTGTACGAGGCGGCGCTCTGAAACGCAACAAGAAATCAACGCCCGTATTTGCATAATCGTGTTCGCTCGCCAAATTACGAATAATGAAATCTTTTTTGAAAATAGAGGACCGCGCGGCGTGTTCCGGCCGGACCGGTTGCCGTTTCGGCAAACGAACGCGGACGGGCACTCACCTTCGGGCTTTGGGCGAACTCGATGTGCGTCGGTGTGCCGGGGCTGCGTGAGATGGTTTGCGACTGCGACATCGTCGACTCGTTTATCGGAGAAACAGATCGGTCCTTGCTACAAGGAAACGGTCGCACATGTAACGTTATAAAGTGGGCCTCGCGGCGGGATCGTTCTCCGTGCAGACAGCCGCGGTTCTTGTGTAGGCGTGTGTTCGTCAGGTGACGCGTGCAAAGTGGTGTACGCCGTGAGAAAACATCGGCAACGTGGTACAAACAAGAAACTAGAGATAGATCGAGAGGATCGGAGGAGAAATATTGACACAGGAAACAGAGAAACGTGGAGAGAGAAAGAGAAAGAGAGAGAGTATACGAGAAACAGGAGGATAGAGTGTGAATGATAAGAGATATATGTGTGATCGAGCGAATGAAAACTTCACTGACCAATTACAGTGATCGTTTCGTACACGTATATACAGAATCGCGTCGACGGAAAATACACGTCGCTGAATGTTAATTGGTTGCTGTTGACGTTAGAGGCTTGATGCCGAACATCGACGCCTATTTGTACACGTTTCAGTCAAGTGCTTCCTGGATTCTTTGCGCGGATGATGCAGACTCATGACAGTATGCTCTTTCCAGTATGGTACACGATGCAAAAAGCTCGAGCTTTTGTTAGTTCGACAGGTGCAATACACACAACGACGAAAGTGACGCGGTCTCCACTCTTCGTTTCTATCTTACTGCTGCAAACTGGTGCAACTGCATCCGCCGGTTTCCCAATACGTTTACTACTTTTCCGATAGCAATCGTTGCATCCCCGGAGGATCATTGCGAATTTTATGCGTCGATACCAAGGAATCGAAGTCGTCGTTCGGACGAGCGTGTACGGTCGTCGAATTTCGTTTAACGCTTTGACAAAATTTCGTAAAGCTGCTGCACTTTGTGCAATCAAATGAACATTGACAGGTTCAGTTTTGCGGTATCAATTGCTTTCTGAACGTTCGGACGTTCTACGGAGCTTGAAGGGGTAATCTAGCGTCAATCTTCGAAAAACTTGATTTTCTTAAAATTCAGAAGAACAGCTGATTGATCATTCATATATTTACATATTATGAAATATACAAAACTTTAAATGTATTTTTCTCGACAGTGTGATTTCAAAATAGTGACCATAATATTAATTAAACTTACACAGTCCGTATAGCAAAGGCAACTCAAAATTTGTATCTTTTACATATTTTTAAAAAATCGAATTTTAACTTTATCTGACCCAAAAAATGTATAAACGTTATTTAAAAATGCGTAAATAAATCTTGCAAACATTACTACAGAAGTTGTTATAATGTCTCCGTAACAAAAATCACAAAGAAAATTAAACTTAAAAAATCGCGATTTACCTTAGAATATCCCCTGAATAAAATTTAAAAAAATATAACACAGATTGGCGTGAAAATTGTCTTTCGAATCTAGACAAAGAATTCGGTCGTGCGGTTCGTCAAAGCGTTGAAATTCGGGAACGCGAATGTCAGCGCGTAAACATTCGATGCGGACATTAATGAAGGAATTTACATGCGGACACGAAATATCAAATTTCGTGTAACGCGGTGTAATCGGACGGCAGGCGAGATGCAGTTGCGATTCGAGTGTACCAACACACACGGTTAGTGGCACGACATTAAACATTCACGACGCATCGACACGGGATCGACGCGCGCTTCTGATCGCGGTACCGATCGCGGTGGTACCGATCGCTCAGAAACGGACAGTCGCAAGTCCCAGTGATCTCGGTGATATATTACCTATAGTCGAACGACGCCGATTGGTTAGTGAGCGGCCATCGTTTGTTATGCGTTTGTTTAAGTGGCCCGCTTGCCGGGAAACTCAAGCGTCTAGAATCACGAATATCAATCTGCGTCACAATCCTTGTATCTCTGCCAGTGCTCGGTGAAATATAGATAGCCTAGGATCGTCCGCGGCAGCGGAACGCGAAAATAATACTCTTAACGCGAATGTCTGTCCACGTGTCATCGTTTTAACTGCTCGAACGCCCGTATTCTCCTCTCCCGTCCTTTCAAACATCATCTTTCTCACGTTGTCAAATCGTCGGGAAATTATTTCGAGCTTAGCCTTGCACTTGCGGATGCACTGTGATTCGTCGACATGTTTACCAACAGGTATGATCATCAATAACGATTCGTAATAAGATTTCAGTTTCGATGTCATTAAATCCGGCTGACAAATCTTTGATAAATTATCTCGAAGTTACAGCCTCGCGCTCATAAATAATCGATGCTCTGTCGAATTGCTCGAGAAGAATAATTAGACTCGGAATTTTATCAATTACGAAGTAAGATCATCAATAACGATTCGAAGTATAATTCCCGTTAAAAATTTCTCGTTCAAAAAATCTGCCCGGAGAATCTTCGATAAACTAGTTCGAGCTTAGCGTCGATACTGCAAATGTTTCCTCTCAATCCGTTAGATAATTCGGAAGAAAATTCCAGTTTCACTGGGAACTTTTTCACGAATTCTAGACAAGGTATACAGGTTGTCCTAAAAATGTCTCGCAATCTGAAAATGGCGGGTTCCTCAGATCATTTGAAGCAACTTCTTCCTTTGCAAAAATTTTCTCCGAGGCACCGTT